CTGTCTGCATGGAGCTTGACTCTTCAGTTTACATTGTGTGTGTGTGTGTGTGTGTGTGTGTGTGTGACTAAAGAGCGACTCAGACACAGGGGACCTTGCTTGCAGAGGTCCTTTATGTGAGATGTTCGTTCTGTGCATGTGCCCCTCACGGTTGTGTCCAGCTTTGGGAGTTACCTTGGGCAAGAGAAACTAGGTAGGATTGCCTTTTGTTTCAGAGGTTGCTGAAAGTGGAAGATGTGGCCCTGACCCTCTCTCATGGATGGGCACAGCTAGACGCGTCTCAGGGGAATCTCAGCAGAGGCAAGAGGCAGGAGAACTGTGGCAGCCTCACCTCCCTGGGTAAGACGATGGACACTCATTTCCTTTAAGGTGCCTTGGTTTCCTTTGTGTGTTAGAAGCTCCGGGGCTGTTTGACGCTTTGGAGCCCCGTTATGCTGAGACTCACAAATGAAGATTCCCTAACGCTTGTGAAACAGCTGTAAAACAGCTATATGACTTATTCCTCCACCTTTTTGACCTCACTTTTTACTCTAACCTGGTACTTCTTTTTTTTTTTTTCTTTTTTAAATCAATTTATTGGGACTCATACAATTCATCACAATACATAGATCAATTGTGTAAAGCACATCTATACATTTGTTGCCCTCATTTTCAAAACCAAAGCAGAAAGCACTCGAAAAGCTACTAAAGAACTCCACCTGAAAATCCTGTCACAGAAAAAAAACCAAGACTAAAGACGAAAAGGATTTTCAAATGGAAAGCTTTCTGAAATTTTGTTTTTACATTGTCCTCCTTTCGCCATTCCCATCAGGGATCCTGCTTGGTGCTCTTGTCAAAGTTGGAGCTCCTGGGGGTCAGGCATTTTGGAAAGGAATGCACCCTATATAAGTTGATTTACGAGGAATTTATTAGGCGAGCTTTTAAATTGAGATTGAAGGTGGGGTGGCTGAATGGCAGATAGATCTCATCCGCAGTTTCTTCCCTTCCCAGTTTTCCAGGATCCTGGTCCT